GGGATCACTGGGATTGTTGGGGTCGTTGAGATCATTGGGGTCATTGGGATCATTGGGATTGTTGGGATCATTGGGGTCACTGGGATTGTTGGGGTCACCGGGATTGTTGGGGTCATTGAGATCATTGGGGTCATTGGGATTGTTGGGATCATTGGGACCATTGAAATCGTTGGGATTATTGGGACCATTGAGATCATTGGGATCACTGGGACCATTGAGATCATTGGGATCGCTGGGATAGCTGAGACCATTGGGATCGCTGGGGTCACTGGGATTATTGAGGTCATTGAGATTATTGGGATCATTCTGATAATCTAGATCGTTGGGGTCACTGAGGTAATTGGGATCATTGGGATCCTTGAGATCATTGGGGTAATTGGGACCATTGGGATCACGGGGATCACTGAAATAATTGGGATCATTTGGATCATTGGGACCATTGGGATCGAGAGCAGAAGCCCCTGCCCTGCAGATGGCCACAGGCTGGGGGGTGGTCTTGTTACAGACCTGCCCAGGTACATCCCATTAACACGGAACCCGTAAACGGGATCCCACGGGGTGTGCGGAGCAGCGGGAGCCGGGCTGAGCTGGGGCTGTACTGGGGCTGTAGCAAGGCTGTACCAGGGGGATACTGGGGCTGTACAGGGGGGTATACCGGGGCTGTAGTGGGGCTGTACCAGGGGTAGACTGGAACTGTACTGGGACTGTACTGGAACCGTGGTGGAGCTGTACTGGGGTGTACTGGGGCTGTACCAGGGGTATACTGGAACTGTACTGGGAATGTAGTGGGGCTGTGGCAGGGTTGTACTGGGGCAGTGCTGGGGGTATACTTGGGCTGTGCTGGGGGTATACTGGGGCTGTAATGGGACTGTACCGGGGCTGTACTGGGACTGTACCAGGGGTATACTGGGGCTGTACTGGGACTGTAGTTGGGCTCTACTGGGGGTGTACCAGGGCTGTACCAGGGGTATACTGGAACTGTACTGGGAATGTAGCAGGGTTGTGACAGGGCTGTACTGGGACTGTACCCGGGGTATACCAGGACTGTACTGGGGCTGCACTGGGGCTGTACTGGGGCTGTAGCAGGGGTATACTGGAACTGTACTGGGACTGCATCAGGGCTGTAGCAGGGCTGTACTGGGCATGTACCAGGGCTATACTGGGGCTGTACCGGGGCTGGTGGGGGTCACGGTGCTGGGCTGGGTGGCCAGCACAGGGAGGTCCAAGTCTG